GCTACAACATAGATGAACTTTGAAAACACGATACTGAGTAAAGGAAGTCAGGCATAAAATGTCACATTTTGTATGGTTCCATTTATAGCAAGTCTCCAGAAGAGGCGAATCCATAGAAACAGGAAGCGGATTAGTGACTGGGAGGTACTGGGGACAGAGGGGACGAGGAACAACTAAAGATCAGGGTAACCTGAGCTTTCCCTGGAGTCTCCCGTGGAAAGAACTTGAAATGAAAGTCCTCCACCAGGACAGGGTGCCCTCCCGCCCCATCCCCACTGTGTACCTAGTTCCGCTGGCCTTGGGCTCTCAAGCCATCCCTACGGCTTCGATTCCTTCTTCAAGTCTCTGAATCTCCACTCGCCAGTGGCTGGCCCTCGGGTCGCAGCGCCTCCAGCTGGAGTGATCCTCTCTGGACTGGTGCCCCAGTGATAAGTGGCACCTTGCTACCCAAGTCTCATAGAATAGCTGAATCTTCTGGACAGGAACGAGCCCGGACCCTCCAGGTCCAACTTCCCTGACGAAAAGCTCCAGGGAGAGCTGAGCCTGTTAGCAGACCCGGTAGATAAAGCACAAGCTTCTCTCTCAACCACAGACTTGACTTCTCAGGTCAGTGCTGTTTAAAAACATACGGGAAAAGGCAACGTTTCCTCAGATACAGAGCATCTCGTCCCTACTCGGACATCTTGAACTTGAGCAAATGTAAAGCTCACTTCCCGCTCCCTGGTGCGTGTACCCGAAGGACCTCTTTGCGGCATCGTGTTCTCCACGTATTCCTGAAAGCTCCCTGGGCTGGGCTACACTTGCCATTTTTTTCTTACACTATTATTGTTGTTCAATCATAAGGAAAGGGCAGTTTATACAATAAGTGGTATTGTGACAATTGGGCACTTATTTGGAGGAAAAAATAGCTACATTCTTGCCTTATACTTAACATTCCAACACTAAAATCAATGCAAAATGGATTAAAGATTTGGGTGTTAAGAGAGAGAGAAGAACCGTAAGAAGTAAAAGAAGGTACTTAAGCTTCTAAAAGGCATGTAACTGGCAGCTCATAGACTCTCCTACTACCAACCGAAATATCTACAAAGATACACACGTAGCAAAAGACAACTATTAATACTAAAAGGTGAAGACTGACAGCTTAGTGACAAAATACAATAGAAATCAAGTCCAATTTTAAGGCAGGTGCAGCTGGACCAGCATGGAGGGGCCCTCTGGCCTTCTGCTCGTGAGAGAGAGACCCCCTCTTAAAAAGGGATGGAGAAGCTTGGGCCATCTTCCGCCCTGGTCTCCTAACCAGAGACCCGGGGACTCAGTAAGTAGGCGGATGGCTCTCTAGAGCAGCGGAGAACTAGAAATAGGCCAATTTCCAGACACTGCCCCAGACTAATTAAGTCAGACTACTTAGGGGAGACACTCAAGCATTGGTGTCTCTTTAAAAAGTCCCAAGGTGGTTTCAACGTGCAGCCAGACTTACTACCAGTCTCTGGATATATTTCTCAGGTGCTGTTCTATGGGGCAGGTAGGGAGATCATTCCGGACACCCTGCGTCACTGTGACGTTCCTTCCCTTCCTTAGTCTATAATGCCCCTCTTTACTGTTTTTCCCCTGCCACTTTGTTTTTGTTGTTGTTGTTTACTTATTTATTTTTATTTATTTATTTATTTTGGTACATGCCCCTAGTGGGAATCCAACCCGGGACTCTCTGGACAACAGGCTGATGCTCCAACCGCTGAGCCAAACCGGCCAGGGCTTGTTTATTTTTTAAAAATATGTTTTTATTGATTTTCTATTTTACTTTTTAGAGAGAGAAGAAGGGAGAGAGAGATAGAAACATCAGTGTGAGAGGGAAACACTGATTGGCTGCCTCCTGCACGCCCCCTACTGGGGATCCATCCCGCAACCCAGGCATGTGCCCTGACCGGAATCGAACTGGGACCTCTCAGTCCATGGGACGACTCAGTCCACTGAGCCACACCAGCTGGCTTTTCTGCCACTTTGATTTCTCTTTTTCAGTTTTCAACATTACCTTCTTCCTTTGACCTGTCCCTTCAATATTGGTCTTTCCAATATATCTTGAAATATCCTCCAAAATTGAAAATTTCATTCAATTCTAAGACTTTAGCTGCCATATATGGGTCGAAGACTTCCACTCTTGTGAGGTAAGGTGGGCGTTTTTACCTCCATAACCCTCTTCCAGGGGTGCATACCCACTCCACGGATGACCATACCCAGCAAGCCAGGAACACTGAGAAGGTCTTGACGAGGTCAGGGAACGAGTGAGAACTTTTAAAAAACCATAATAGCACATGCCTTGGACCGTTTCGCTCAGTGGTTGGAAGGTCGGTTTGCGGACCAGAGAGTCCCAGGTTCGGTTCCCGCTAAGGACACGTACCAAAAAAAAAAAAAAATTAAAATAAAAAAAACCATAAAGCACAGAAATTCCATTGAGAAGTAGCCTTGTGGAAACTCGGCAGCTAGGCCAGTGATTCCCTTCTTTCAACACTTGGAACATAGTGACGGACCAGATGCCAAGAGAAAGGAGTTAGACTCGGGACAAGGGAAGGAAAGAGGAGAGTAGGAGAGCGTCAAGGAAGTTCTCTTCTGCCATCAACATGGACTTGAACAAGGCAACGGGGAGACTGACAAGGGAAAAGAGAGAGCTACTTTGGGGCATCTCTCAATTCTAGATATGTCTGTCTCATGAGAAAACTTTCCCAATAATGAACTGTATCATTTTTACAAATGATGACATTTATATGTCTCTACCAAGCTTCTAACTCCCTCCTGCTGACCCAGAGACCATAGGCACCTGAAACATAACATATGGAACAGAGCCCTCCTCCTCCCCCTCCCCTGTCAGCTCCTCTCCTGTGCCATCTCCATGGTGGAGCTACGATTCCCCCACCTGGTATGGGTTAAATTGTGCCACCCAAAATGTATACGTCCAAGTCCTAATCCTAGTACCTCAGAACGTGACCCTATTCAGAGATAGTCATTGAAGATATAATTAACTGAATTAAGATGAGGTTGCCCTGGCCAGTTTGGCTTAGCAGTTAGAGCGTCGGCCTGCGGTCCAGAGAGTTCCGGGTTCGGTTCCCGCTAAGGACATGTACCTCGGTTGCAGTTTGTCCCCGGCCCTGGTTGGTCGTGCGGGTGGCAACCAGTTGATGTGTCTCTCTCACATTGATGTTTCTCTCTCTCTTTCCCCCTCTCTCCCATTCTATCTGAAGATAAATGCAAAAAAATGTCCTCGGGTGAGGATAAAAAAAAAAGATGAGGTCATTAGTGGGCCCTAATCCAATATCACTACTGTCTTTCCTTATAGAAAGGGGAAGTTTTGACACAGAGACATGCACACGGAGAACACCATGTGAAGATAAAGGCAGAGATCAGGTGATGCCCCTACCCACCAAGAACACCAAAGACGGCCAGCAAGCCACCGGAAGCTAAGTGACAGGCATGGAGCCAGTTCGTTCACAGCCCCCAGAAGGAACCAACCTTCCAACCTGATCGCAGACTTTGAGCCTCCAGAACTGTGAGATAAGTTTCCTGCCGTGTACGCCACCAGACTTGCAGCCCCAGCAAACTAACGCATTGTCCAAAGATGTACCCTCCGTCTCTCACCCCCACATCCAATGACTCAGGCATCCACAGCAATCCACGTGCCATGACCAGCAGTTTCTGATGACACACCAATGACTAGTGATATGTGGTATTTTGTTTTGTTTTGTAGCCGTAGGAAACTGACAGTACCCAGTGAAGATGTACCCTCCGTCTCTTACCCTCCACCTCCAATGACAAGGTCCCACCCAGTTAACCTCCAAATCTTCTAAGTTCAGTCTCCACCCTGTGTCTGTTGCCTCTGTAGGTATGTTGGGTTTTGGAGACGCTGTTAGGCCCATGCTAGAAGATAGGAAGGGACTTCATTGTCCAGTGGAGCAAGGATACCTTCAAAGCTGGTGCAAAATGCAGAATGTCTAAGGTTCCGAGGGTACACAGAGCGGGTGGGGCTGGCAGGCACGGGGAGGGCGCCCCTAGCTGGGGGCAAGATAAACACCTACCAGAGAGCTGGGGCCACAGAGGCTGCAGGGATTGACAAGGGGGTGGGGCTGGCCAGAGGCCTGGGCTCCCCTGGGCTCTGTCTCCGAGACAGAGGACAGAGTGGGGCCGGGCTTTCTCCTGAGTGAGTGGGCACCTAGGGGACATCCTTGCTACTGGGCTTCCCTAGGACGTGGCTGCAGCGGGCACACTCTCGAGGCACCAAGGCTGCAGAGGGTGAGGCTGCAGAGGGTGTTCCTTTCCAACCGCAAACCGACCCGACAGGTTTGCTGATGCGCGTTGTCCAGGTTCCAGTCCAAGAGGGGTGAGCCCAGCGGGCACTTGGCATTGCCAGCCTCCCTCCCTCTCTGCCAGCAGACGGGAGACCCGCAGTGGCGCTCAGAACCGGGTTCTAACCCTTAGGATCAAGCAGCGGAGGACTGGAATACGCAGCCCCCTCGGGCCCCAGCTGTGCTCGCCTTTCTCTTCATCCCCTACTCCTGCCCTCACCGCTGTGCCCCCTTCTTCCTCCTGCTGCCCCCACCGACCTCCCTCTCTTCTCAGTTAACCCCCACTATCACCTCTTCCTCCACGCCCTCCTCCCCTCTGCGCATACCCCTTCCTTCCCTGCTCTGCTCAGATTTCCCTTCTCCCCAACTTCTCCTTCCCCCACATTCCCACCCCATGGCCGCCCACTGGACTTTCTCCCACCCCCTTAGCTTTACTCCTTCCCCCACCTTTCCACTTGGCCCTGCATTTCCCCCCACTTTGCTTGTTCCACTGTTCTTCCCCCCCAGTGCCCAGTAGCTCCCTGTCCCTCCCTTTCCTCCGGGTCATCTTTCTCCCCCACCCCTTTCCACCCTCCCCCTCCCGCCCTCCCCACCCGCTTCAGCCCCACCGCCTCCCACTCCTCCCCCTCCTGCCCCGCCCATCGGTGTTTGCTTTTCTCCCGGATCCAGATGAAAGGGTTGCTCTGTCCCTGCCCCGGCCGGTGCCCTGCCCATTTCTGGCAGCTGGGGTCTTGCTTCATGGCTGAGGGCTCCGGGGCGCAGGCCCTGGGGAAAGGGCCCCCACTCAGCATCCAGCTCCTGCGAGCCCAGTACGAAGGCTCGAGGCAGCAGCAGAGGGCCCACCTCGTGGTGCTTCCCAAAGGTAGAGCTGGAGGTGCTGCGAGCAGCCCTGGAGGCGGGGAGGGCCTGGCTGGGGGTGGGTAGATGCGGCGGGTGGATGGGGTGGGTGGGGGTCCCGAGCCCCAGGCAGGGCAGGGCCAGGGCTCTGCAGGCCCCCCTGGTGGGGAAGAGCAGGAATGCAGGCCGCCAGGAGTCAGAGCCTGAGCCGGGAGACTTGTGCAGGCGCAGCTCTGCGAGGCTCAGTCCCCCTGCCAGCGGAGCCAGGGGCCTCAACCAGGCTTCTGGCTGGCAGCCTGCTGTTCCCTGGACTCTGCTCTCATGTGCTGATCTTGCTGGACTGGTCTGCCTGCTGAGCCAGGCTTGGCCCCCTGCTAGGCCAGGTGGGAAGGACGGAGCTCTGCTTCCCGGCTGGGTCTCACCCAGACTCCTCTTGCAAACCCAAGAAACTGGCTCAGTGGAGAGAGAAGACATGGCACCCAGGACAGCCTGGGCACTGGCCAGAGAAAGTGCAGGGCTCAGGGTCCCAGGAGGAGCCCTGGATCGGGAGCTTGCCCATCACAGCCTCAGACAGCAGCCACGGAGGTGCAGAGAGACACAGAAGCCCCCTCTTCCAGGGGAGAAGCCTGTTCCCTTTGAGAACTCAGATTTTATTGCAGGAGGAAGTTAGGAGCACAGGGCTCAGAAATCAAGCGATTGTCAAACCCCAGCCCTCTGACCTCTCACCGAGGAACAGGTCAAAGGAGGTGGGAAGGTCCCTGAAAGGTCAAAGCTGTACCTGGGAGTTTCTATGGCTATTTGTACTGTTCAGGACCCTTAAGTGACCCACCCAGCAGTAGGCCAGGCTGGAAAGAAATCAGGAGCCAGAAAGACCTCATCATCCTGGATAGGAAGTGTGTTGCCTGTTGCAGACAAAAGGGACACTTCTAAACTGAAGGCGACTGTCTCCCATCCCTTGGGCTCATGCCAGCCACAGCTAAATCACCCCCTCTCTGCAGGGCTTAAGCTGAAAGGTTTCTAAAGCCCTATTTTATCCTCAAGGGTGTTCATTCATTCACTCATTCATTCATTCATTCATTCATTCATCAGACATTTATTAAATTAAACCACTCAAATGAAAGCACCATGCTGAACCCACCTGCAGTTCAGACTCACAAGTCCATGTTCCAACAGCTTAAACTCAACGTGCCCCGTGGAATTCACCATCCCCTGTCCAACCCCTCCCAGCTGGCCCTCGCGCCTGCATTCTATAACTCAGAGCTCCGGGCTCCAGGGAGAAGTTGGGTAAATTTACAAAATAAGGTAAAAATGATGCTAGGGAGAGGAAAAAGCAATCTTGCCTGTATTTCAGCATCAGGGTTCATGGCAGTGCCATTCACTGAGATAGGAAAACCGGAAGAAAAACCATTCTCTGAGGTAGAAAGAGAAAAACTTCTTCATGAATATGCTGCCTTTGAGATAGTTGTCTATAGAACTTCCAACCAGCCTGGATCTTGGGGGAAAAAATTGGGCTGGGGATGTAGATTTGGGTTGTAGTTGAAGCTGTGGGCATAGGAAAAATTGTAGCAGGTCAGTGTGTACATTGATAAGAGTCTGGGATGAAACTTAGAGTTCTGGAATATCCAAGTATTTAAGGGACAAGCCAAGGAAGAGAAGCAAGTGGAGACAACTAGTAAAGTGGTCAGAGAGGAATATTATAGCCTTAGAAAGGAAGGAGCCCTGGCCGGTTTGGCTCAGTGGTTAGAGCGTCAGCCTGTGGTCCAGAGAGACCCGGGTTCGGTTCCCACTAAGGGCATGTACCTCGGTTGCAGTTTGTCTCCGGCCCTGGTTGGGTCAGCTGGAGGCAGCCACTCGATGTGTCCCTTGCACATCAGTGTTTCTCTCTCTCTCTCCCTCTCTCTCCTTCCCATTCTATCTGAACAAAAAATGGAAAAATGTGTTCTGGTGAGGATAAAAAAAAAAAAAAAGGAAGGAAACTCCAACACATGCTGGACTTTGGTTAACCAGGGCTGGACTTTGAAAATGTTATGCTAAGCCCTGGCCAGTTTGGTTCAGCGGTTGGAGCATTGGCCTGCGGACCAGAGAGTCCCGGGTTCGGTTCCTGCTAAGGGCATGTACCAAAAAAAGAAAAAAGGAATATCATGAAAATGTTATGCTATGTGAAATAAGCCAGTCACAAAACGACAGATACTGTGCGAGTCCACTTACACGAGCTGCCTGGAGTAGTCACAGTCGTAGCGACAGAAAGTAGGAGGGTGGTTGCCAGGAGCAGGGAGGAGGGGAAGCAGACAGTGGTGGTTTAACGGGAATAGAGTTCCGCTTGGGAAGATGGAGAATTGCTAGAGATCAGCTGCAGATCTCAGCAGATGTTAACGTCGTGGAGCCAAGCAAGCAGAGGGCGTTTAGAAGACAGTGATCCTCTGTGTGAAAAGCACAGGGGCCCAGGAGGGTAGAGTGACCGCTGAGATCGACTCCTGCTGGGACCAGATGTCAGTGTCTCAAGACATTGGGTTGTATTTGGAAGGGAGTTTTTCTGGGGGTTGATTAATGGAAGGAAGAACCCTTGAGTTGGCTTTCTTTATCCTGTCTTAGCATTATGGGATGGATTTAGATGCTAGAAATTCGGCTGCCCTGAGCAACATACCTTTATGTTGGTACCATGGAGCCTGAGCTGGGATCCAGGGTGCCCCTGTACCCATGGTTGGTGTCCAAAAGGCCTATGATTTTGCCACATCCAGGTGGTATGTGACATCTCATGGAGAAGGGACTGGGGATGAGAACTCATGCCTGGGCTGGTGGCTTACCATACATTTCATGTGACATTCCCAGCAACCGTTAGGCAACTCTTCTTTTCGGGTCTCCATTCCCCACCCCTTCATCCCAGCGGAAGAGAGAAATCAAGGAGGAGCTCAGAATGCTTCTTCCCCAATGGATACCTTCTGGCAAATTGAGCCAAGGATGGAGAATTAAGGAAGCATCACCCCCCCCGCTTCCTCTGTTCCCCAATAAGCACAGATCATTTTGAATATTTGTAAAGGTTTCCATGTTTGTGACACTAAGGAGAGGGTAGCGTGGGTATGAAGCAGGAACCAGCCTTCAGTCTTCCCACTGGAGTTAGTGTTCGCAGCACAGGAACTTGGCAGAGATGGCTGCGTGGCTCCTTTGTTTCTCCTGGATTCCAGGACCCTAGCTCAGGGGCTTCCTTCTGACTCTACTTCCCCAATACTCTCTCTCCACTCCTGCCACACACGTTGTCACCTGCAGGACCTGCTGCAGGTGAAAAATGCTGGAGCGCTCAAGGGAGCTTCACCGACACCTCACAGGGAACTCCAGGCTGGGCAAAGACCTGCTTCCTATAGGAATCTGCCTTTCAGACATCCATTCCCACAGCCCTCACTGCCACCGGAAGGTGACAGTCAACTGCCACCACCGACAAGGTGGTAAAAATATGGCCCTGAAGAAGCAAGACGTTGGTCTGCATCCTCATCCCTGAAGCCGGTTCAGGGAAGCAGTGGGCGCTGCAATGTGTTCCCAGAACAGAGTCTGGAATCGAAGGATAAGGACCAGTCCTCCCAAGGGAGCTGCTTTAGAACACAGTTCTGCCCTGACCGGTTTGGCTCAGCGGTTGGAGCGTTGGCCCGTGAACCAGAGAGTCCCGGGTTCGGTCCCCGCTAAGGGCACGTACCTCCATTGCGGTTTGTCCCCGGCCCTGGTTGGGGTTGTATGGGTGGCGACCAGTCGATGTGTCTCTCTCACATTGATGTCTCTCTCTCTCCCTCCCACTCTATCTGAAAATAAATGCAAAAAAAAATGTCCTCGGGTGAGGATGAAAAACAAAACAAAACAAACAAACAAAAAACACAGTTCCTCCCTCCTCACCTCGGGTGGGAAAGCCATTATCAGAATCCCAGAACACACAGCCTGTAAGTTAAGTCTTTTCCACCTGTGAGGGTATGTGAGTCCTGGTGCGGGTGACCACGTATGTGCCTTTGTTCCCTGATATTCAGCCCAGAATGCTAGTTCCTTGGCTCTTCCCAGGGCTCGCTGCCTCGGTGCAGGCGAACACGGAGGCCTTTTTTTAAATTCTCTCATGCCTGAGTCTTTCTCCATAGCGTTGGCTACCTCCCTGAAGTTTATTACATTCATTGTCGTATTGTTTTTCCAGCCCACTAGAGCACATCATGAAGATATGGATTTTGTCTCAGTGTTCACTTCTGTATACCCAGGACCTAGAACAAATAATAAGCCTGGCACATAATAAGTGTTCAGTAAATATTTGTTGAATAAATGAATGATTGTGTGCGTGAGAAAAAAAAAAGAGAGAGGCCGCTTGCACGGACGTGAGTATGTGAGTGTGTGAAGTTGGGAGGGAGTGCACGTGTGTGAGCAGGATCATGTATGTATCCATGTAGATGTGTTCACACACACGCAATGCACTGGGCACCTGGCCTCTGTGGCGTTTGGGGCATCTCCTTCTTTGACGAGAGCTGCCCACGTATCTTTCCAGTGGTGACCCTGTTTGTGCTTTGCTTTCTCAGGGGGGAACGCACCTGCTCCTGCTGAGTCCATGGTCAGTGCAGTTTGGATTAACAAGGAGAGGAGGCGTGCACCGCCCCAGAGCGCAGTGGGCCCCGAGGCGGCAGGGATGCTGGCGGAGGCGGACAGAGGCTGTCTGAAGGTCCCCAGGTCTCCGTGGCACACGCACCTACAGATGCACTGCTCCGTCCAGACCTCCCCCCAGGAAACCAGTCCTCAAGCAAAACACAAGGGCAAGTTCACAGGGGCGGAGCAAAGGCTTCCTCAGGAAAGAGACTCAGGCTTGTTTGAAAATAAGCAAGTGACTCAGCAAGGGACCATGGTCCCAGAGGCAGCCCAGCAGGAATGCCAGGGGGGCAAGCCCCAAACAAAGGCAGGGGGGTGCGGCTTAAACAATGGCGTTCAGTGCCCTTCTCCCGTGAAGAGCCCACGCAGGTCTGGAAAACCAGCTCACTATCCATTTCCCCAGAGGAAAACTCCTAGGATCTCCCAAGCTGCCAGGAACCTGGGCTTATACGGCCCAGCCTGAGGCTCTCTACTCGGTCAGATGTCCCAGCCTTGAGGCCATGTATGGTGTCATTGAAGAACTCAGGAGACAGAGCCACAGTGACAGCCTCTAGTTATGAGCAGAACTGGACCAACTCAATTGTAGGAATTGTGGGAAATGAACTTCCCAGGGGCACATGGTCTCGTCCTTCAACAAAGAAGAGATTGACCAGACCAATGGCTCACAATTCGGGGTGAAAGTGCTGTCTGTTCAGTGCGCCCCGTTCTGTTCGTAAGGAAGATACTGCTATGGAGCCCTGGACGCCCATTCCTTGGGGAGAGCCAGTGGGGATCTGCTCAGTCCCGGAACCAGGCGACTTTGAAGACAGGGATCCTGGCCAACGGAATGCCTTTGCCCTGGAGTCCACGGATGTGGACAGTCTCGTTCCCAATGTCTTCTGATGATTTCCTGCATGTTCTGGAGAAGATGAGCCTTTTTCTGGCTGCTCTGCCTGGAGGCCCGCTCACTTACAAGTCCCCACATTCGCGTGTATTGACCACACCTTTTCAGCTTGAGCTTCCCAAAGGATGGTCACCGTGGGTAAAGAGGGGCCGAATAATGCACCAGCGATTTTGTGTATTTGAGGGGTCTTTAGGAAGGGTTGGTCACCTCTCACCTCTCACCAAGACTGCACATTCCAGTTTCATCACAGGTTTATCTCCTTCCCTTCCTTCCTTCCTTCCTTCCTTCCTTCCTTCCTTCCTTCCTTCCTTCCTTCCTTCCTCCCTCCCTCCCTCCCTCCCTCCCTTCATTCCCTCTTCCTTCATTCCCTTCTACTTTTCTATATGTCTGTCTTTTCTCCCTCTTTCCCTCCCTCTCCTCTCTATCCAAATTAAGTTCTTATCAAACACTGTCAATCATTGAAGATCTATAGTAACAGGAGCCTGAGCAGAAGGAGCCAAAGAAATGCTCCTGCTCGGAAAATATGTGTTTTCCACCAGCGGCTCCCTTTCCAGCCACACTCGGATCACTCAGATCCTTCCTGGGATGTTTTATACCGAAGAGAAAGTGCAGCAGGTGTTGCTTGGGTGTGATGGGGAATGAAGTATGTCTTTCCTGGTTAATGTTTCACTTCAGCAATGATACTTAAACACATCTAATGTGCCTTTTCCTCATATCGGTCCCTCTCTGTAAAGTTTCACCCACATCTTTCCCCCCCATGGCACAGTCTTGCCTATTCACATCTAGAGTTTTTAACCAGGGTTGTCATTACCTGTGAAAGACATATATATGCCTGCTCCTTGGACCACCTAGAAACTCACTCCAAATTGGAGATTCATTGTGATTCCTTCTGTGAATAATTAATAAGAGCCGGTTGTTAATTTTCTTTATAGTCTAATGAAAAACAAGATAAATTTCTGGAAAATCACTTTGTCTTTTGATTTTGTTTTAAAAAGGATTCCCATAACTATCCCCCCCCCCTTTCTATCGTGTATCAATCAGGAGAGGCCGTGTTTTGCTGCAGTAACAAACAACCCCTAAATCATACAATAGAAGCTTTTTTTCCTCATTCATGAGGAGTCTCCTGTGGATTTGAACAAACTCCCAAGACAGCTTTCCTCCATCTATCACCAGCAATTCAGGCTGCTTCAAACTTGTGGCAACACCATATCAGCACTGGTTTCCCTAATCACTGTAGCAAGAGAAGAAAATATGCACTAATAGTCATGCACTGGCTCTCATCACTTTCACTCCCGTTTCATTGTCCAAAGCAAGTCACATGGTCATGTGTCCACTGGAAGGGTATGAGAGAGTACAATCGTCCCACGTGCCTAGAAGGAGAGAAGGAGTGGAAACATGGGTGAGCAGCACTCATGGCTAACACGGGCAGATAGGGGCCAGGTCATAGTTCAATATAGGTTTTATTCTGAATACGATAAGTAGCCATTAAGGGATTTACACACAAGACCAAGTTGATTTGACTTGCAGTTTAACTAGATTGCTCTGGTTCCATGAAGAATGAGTTGAGAGTCACACTGAGAGAGAATGTCGAGGGAAAGAGGCCATGGCTAGTTCAGGAAACATGCTGTTAACTCAAGCAAGAATGGAAGCAGAGTCATGGAGAAAAATTGAATACATTTGATATACACTTTGGAGACAGAACCAGTAGGATTCACCGAAGGAAAAATCCTAAGTTCAGTTTGAAGGATACTGAGTTTGAGATGCTCATGAGACACAAATAAAGATATCAAATAGGCATGTGGACAAACGAGAGGAGGGTTCTGGGCTAGACTCATCGATTTCAGTATCACGTGGATACAGAGGCTCTCAAACGAATGAGAAAAGATGAGCTCACCTAGGCAGAGTGTAGAGAGAAGACAGGGTCCAGAATGAATCCTGAAAACTCCCAATTTACTTAGTTGAAGAATCTCCAAGGATGTTTCCAATGGTACCTAGAAGAGGTGGGTAGATGGAGGTGGGGAGGAGGCAGCAAAGGACACTGAGGAGGAGTGACCAGAGAAAGAGGCGGGGCATGTGGCATCACAGACCTCAAGAGGTTGCACGGTCCCTCCCCTACTTGCAAACCCTCCACAAACCCCCTTTTCCAGAGTCCACAGTCTTCAGTCTGTTTTAAGAGGCAGAGTCCAAGAGGAAATGCCAGATGTGCGAAACACCAGGGGGGTGTTTCAGGTCCCAGCTGACTGAGTGCCTTGGCCCCTGGGTCGTCCGCGCGGGGAGGTGGGTGGGGGGCTGCAGACTGGGTGTTCCCTGCGGCGGAGCAGGCTGGGACCTTCCCTGGGTTTCGCCTGCACACACTCCCCCAGCCTGGGCTGTCAGCCTGCTGAGGCAAAGGGCTCAGATTACATCTGGGCTGTCACTCTACCCAAGACTGATTTTCTCTCCCCTGCGGGCCAGGATTGGAGCTAATTTTCTCTTCCCACGCTCTGCAGGGCTAGCGACAGGTGTTCCTAAACCAGAGAACCACCAGCTCACAGCGTGCACCCTGCACCGGGCAGGTTACATCTGGTAGGGTCGCCCACGTCCCCGCCGCGCCAACCTGCCGGGCCCAGGACTGCCACGACATTTGCCGCGGTCCTCCCGGCCTGGAGACGGTGCCTCTGGGACACACGACCTTGGCTGAATCACTTAACTCTCAGAGCCACGGATCCCCCAGTTGCAAAGCGAGGCCAGAAAAGCCCCTGTGGGGCGAGGGTGAGGACAACAGGGTCCGTTCCATCAGCTGTCGATCTGTCCGTCCAGTAGGGGGCGGGCTCCCTCCGCACCAGCTCGGCCTCCTTTCCTAACTTTTCACTCTCTCCGTCCTTAAAGCGCGTTCAGTCCTGTTCTTAAGACGTGAAAGCAGTGGAATTTACAAGTCTATCTCATATTCGAGTCAGAGCCCACCAACTCTCCCCCCCTCACCCCGGATTTATGCCTTTAAGGCTAGAGGGCGTGGTCTTCTTGCTCAGACACCCCTCCCCCTCTGTGCCCACAGCTTTTGGCATTAGGGTAGCAGGGCCAGAGGCTCTGCAAGCGGCTGGCTGCGGTGTACTTTGGTCTCCTTTCCCTGGGCTGTTTACCCTGACCGAGCTGGGGGTCTGCAGGCTTGGTGCGGACACATGGGGGCCCCCACAGGCTCCTGCAGAGGAGGGACTCCATCCCCAGCCGCTCCCCCAGCTCTGGGGGCCCCTGTGAGAACGGTTATGCCTGCTCCTACTGCACCCCACCCCCACTGCCTCAGAGGTCCCCTTCCCTTTGCTAGCGGCCCGGCTCCCCTACCCCAAATCCCACCCGTTCTTAAATTCTTAATATGCCTCAGTTTATCTCTTCACACTATGTGTTAAACTATCTTCTGACTCCTTCCCCTCACTGATTTCTATATGGCTGGGAAATCTTCAAATACAGGGGGCCACGTGTGGGTTTATAGTTGTTCCTGTGGAAAACAATAGAATAAATAAAAATACAAGAATAAATTCTGTGTTTCGTGTACTCATGACTGTAAGCCTCCTCCGGCCCCACCCTGTAATTTTGAAATGAAACTGCCAGTGGTGAACCGGGTGCTTCCATCTGGGGGCCAGAGAGGACCACGGCATTTTCTAAATACTTGTAGGTGCAAAAGGGGCATGCAATCCGCTGACCCGCTGGGGGGGGGGGGCAGGGGGACCCATGGCGGCCCTGACAAGCTCAGCCACCGCCAGTGACCACACAGGATGGTCTGATCATAAACTCCGAACTGGGCAGGCCATGCGGGGAGTCCTGCCCAGGCCTGTCGCTTCCTGAGCAAAGGTCAGTCTTTGCCTTAAGTGAGCCCTGTCCACGGTTCTTCCACAGCTAGGATAACATACCTTTGAAACATCAGAGTAATTTTTTTTCTAGACCCCTCGAAGGCACAACCCCCAGCACTGGAGCTCGAGACCACAGACCCCTCATTGTTATCTTGTTTCCCACATACCACCCCTTGGTGCTGTAAATGTTAATTATCAACTATCCTCTACCCACCAATATAAAAGTAAATAAATACATAAAGCCTTGGCCGGTTTGGCTCAACAGTTGGTGCATAGGCCTGCAGACCAGAGAGTTCCGGGTTCAGTTCCCGCTAGAGGCACGTAATAAAAAAATAAATTAAAAAAAACACAAAGTGCTTCTTTATTTGGCAGCCCCAGCTTGTGCTCAGCAGACGGCATCTGCTCGGGGACCATTGTCACAAAGGGGAGGGGGCTGTGCCCTTCCTATGGGGACTGCGGGGGTGCCTTTCCTCTGCAGCAGAGCTAACAGGACAGCCAGTCCTTAGATGAGAACAGGAAAATGGGCCGAGTTACTAAGCGAACGTGTTAAGACGGCATAGTCTCCAAAATTCGTGAGCTGTTCTCCATCCGTATGCACAAGGCTTGGGGCACTAATGGGGATATTTTTGGCTCAAAGAATTCTACCAGAGGAGAGCTACCAAATGTGACCCATCTGCAGGGGACAATGAGGGCAGGGGACAGCCCACATCATGACCAGGGGGCCTGCCTCAATCGCCTGGAGGACCTGCTAAAACAGATCGCAGCTGGCCACTGGAATCACTGAAAATGTTAAGTTCTTTAAAACCCTCTGAGAACTCTTTGCCCCTCCTCACCTCTGGCTAAAAGCCAGGGAGGGTTT